GCTCTGTTAGTGCATATCATGCGTGAACAACCTTCTTCCGTAGTGTTTTGTCTTTGATTTCCCGCATAAAATTTTGCGCGATATGTCTTATGCAATACACATGGGTCGAGGGAGGATCCTGTCAACCGTTATCAAGATTATTGTATGCACTCTCGATTGATGGGTGTATATCCGAGATCAAACATAAGTTAGATTGGGGAGAAACGTAAAAGCGGAGATTTTTTAAGAAAAAACTCCAACCCCTAGCAGTCTCCCCTTCAACTATAGCGAAGGCTATTGGAAAAATGTTGTTGTTCCCGTCCTGTTCCACGGCCATGAGTAGGGTGCCCTTATATTTCCCGTATAACCATATTCCGTAAACTTGAATTATAGGTTTACAATATGCAAACCTGTTGATGCATGGTTCGAACGCTCAAAAGAGTCTGTGAAAAATTCCATTTCCACCAACGCAAGTCCCGTCTGGTGTACACGCTGGCATTGTCTCCAATATGCCAACACTCCCTAAAAAGTATTGTTTAAGAGCCACCAAGAATTTTGGAAGTTCCTTTAAGACTCCTCCCAATTGCCAAACACCCTTTCAACCGCTTTAGTCTTAGCAATCCATGCTTTTCGGTATAAAGGAGTGTAATTGTACCTTTGAACCATATGTGCAATTATGGTACTCACCTTCAAAGACGGGTTGTTGCTATTAACTGAAAGAATCTCATCACAAATCAATCTAGAGCTGAGCTTGCGATGGTTCTGCATCGGATTTGAGATTATACAAGTGTGATATGGACTCATTGACCCTATCTTCCAGGAATCACTTCTCTTTCTGAAAGACGTCATTAATCGGAACGGACACACCTCGTTACGACCGAGTTGGATTTGTCCGGTCGACTCTGTAATCTGCTGATAAGTCCATGTGATATTGTTTAATTGCTCAGACACAATCTTCTTTGGTACGAAACTTGTCACTCTATTTTAGTTGCCCTTCTGTTGCGTAGTTCGGGTTGTAAAAAACATCCGTTGAGGGTTCATCATCACTTAAGTTGAGACTTGTCATGTGTTGAGGTGGGCAATACACATGGCCGGGTGGAACCGCCTCTTCCTCGTTGTTCACCATCTCATCAATAGTGACTTCAACTGCTTCTTCTTCTTCGTCAATGACATTGACTTCAACATGTTCCTCATCAGATTCGTAAAAAACTTGAGAAGAATCAAGTTGTTGAGACAGTTGTTGTTGTTGAAACATAACATGTAACACAATATCTGAGAAACCATAATACTCGTGACTACGGAACATGTTACGTACATCTTCATCGTCTCGAACCTTTAATGGGAAAAATTTGCATTCACTATGCCTGCCAAAAAACACTGGATTTTTGTATATTATTTGGCCAACTGGACCGCATTGCAGTTTTTTTCTAACCTTGACTTCAAGTGCAAAAAATTTAACCTTCTGTCAATTGAAAATCTCGTAGCATTAGTGTTTTTGAAATTGTAACCGGCTATGTCACATTCAAAAACTTCATCTTTCAGATGTGCACTAATCTTGTATTGTGGTATTTGAGACATAGAGAAAATTGTGTTTGGAGGGACTATTTTACTAATTGATATGATAATAATTCAGATCTCTCTACTATATTAATAACAATTTGGCGAGGGAGCTGCATGACATGACAACACTTTGCGTGTCTACTGAGGGAGCTGCATGACAAGACAACACTCTGCGTGACTACTGAGTGAGCTGCATGACAAGACAACACTCTACGCGCCACAATAAACTGCTTGATAAGACAATACGCTGGCTACCATTTGCACTCTGTCTACAATAATCGATTCCCTGCATGCCTACCAATTCTATGTAGGCCTACGAGATTCTTACTAAAAAGAATAGTAACATTAAAAATATTATGTTTGCATTTATTAATCCAATATTATTATTAAAATATCACAATTAAAAATATATTAAAGCTAATAACGAGTAAGTTTTAATAGAAGACGCAACTGAGTTTATTTGCCCTAATAACGAGTAAACCTAAGAAGAAGAGGTTGAAAATTAGATGGAGAAAACACTTGAATGTGTATAACAAACGTAGAAAAGCATTCGTTTGTGTGAGACGTCTGCAACATGCTTGACAAGATAATACGCTGGCTACCATCTACATTCTGTCTACAGTAACTGATTCCCTGCATGCCTACCAATTCTATGCAGGCCTATGAGATTCTTACTAATAAATGTATGTCACATGGCTACAGTAACCGTCTGTACTCTGCATGCATGACAAGACTGAACCTACACGCCTCCCGTAATGCATGTCACATGCATGCCTGACAACACTCTGCATGCATGACACCACCACATTATGCACTTCCAAGACAAGACTAAACATGCACGCCTCACAATTGTGTGAGACGCCTGCAGCATGCTTGACAAGACAATACGTTGGCTACCATTTACACTCTGTCTACAGTAACAGATTCCCTGCATGCCTACCAATTCTATGCAGGCCTACGAGATTCTTACTAATAAATGTATGTCACATGGCTACAGTAACCGTCTGTACTCTGCATGCATGACAAGACTGAACTTGCACACCTCCCGTAATACATGTCACATGCATGCCTGATGACACTCTGCATGCATGACAACACCACAACATGCACTTCCAAGACAAGACTAAGCATGCTCTACAGTAACCTGCTCCGGGGATGAATTATCAAAGATGTCCCAGGAACTCCATAATCGTGTACCGGAACCTCATCAAACACATTGGGCCAAACGATGTAATTTATCTTCCTTTACTTTGTCTAACTTATATGCATAAACTTGTCTAACGCTGTCTAACTTAATTTATCTACCTTTATTGTAGTTTGTCTGGATGCCGTACGAGGGTCTCGACCACCAGCCCGACGTCGATGATGTTGCTGTGTGAGCATCCAAAACACCTATCATTAAGTTCACTACGGTGGAGATGCACCAAAGTGACCGGGTGAAACTACAGTTTGGGATGCATTAGGATATTCCAGATGCTCCGATGTCATTGGGACAGTGGCATCAGCAACGGGTGGACTCACAGTGGAGTGTCGGTTATTGGAAGAAGTTTGCGACAGAGATGTGTCAACATTGAAAGAACAGAAGGCAACGCATCTTAACCGACTATATTGTGGAAGGGGCTAGGCCAAGTTATCAATATATGACTTGGTTTAGGTCGATTACAACATCACAATCATTTCTGTCTGAGCCGACCTATTTGATTGACCTAAGGCAACGTGCTTAGTCCTCAAACACACAACAATAATTCAATGCCCAACATCCACAACAACAGTCATACCATAACCCATACATGCCACCAAATGCTCAACATCACCAACAACAGCCTTACCATGACCCGTACATGCCACCAACCCAATCACAACAACAACAACCTTACCAATATAGCCCTGATACGTCTTTTGACCCTACCCCCTCCATCTATAGCCTAGATAACCCATTTGACTCTACCCCTCCCACCTATCCACTGTTTGACTACCAAACCCCACAACAACTAACACATTGTTTCCAACCCGATTCAATGTACAAATTCAGACAACCATACCGTCCATACTCCACCCAACCTCCCCGACAATCATACGAACACATGGGCATTGGGCTTAACTACGAAAGCGTCGTTGATAGTGGACCTCCCGGCTATTGGGATCAAATGCTTCAAAATTTATCTGATACGTCGGGGCCGTCCCAACAAATACCTCTTCCACAACTCAACACCCAAAGACCAGACACACCTCAGCAACCTCGTGATAGACCTCGTCGCCGCACGCATCCTCCTCAATGTAGTACCGGTGGTTGTTTAGATAGAGACAACCATTAGTATTTTTTTTATCAAGTGTAATTTATATTCAATTATAAAGTAATATATTTTACTTTTTATTTCATTTATTTTTTTATATTATTTAAGTTTCAATTAATTATGAAAATAAAAAAATATAATTTACTATTTATCCATTTATTTTATTTTATTTACATTATTTAAATTTTAATTAACTATGAAAAACAAAAAATATAATTTACTATTTATTCCATTTATTTTTTTAAAATTATTTCAATTTCAATTGATTATGAAAAACAAAAAATTTAATTTACTCATTATTCCATTTTTTTTTTGCATTATTTAAATTTCAATTAATTATTTTAATTAAATATGAAAAATAGAGAAAATACTGCGCAAACCCTAACAAAAAAAAATGCAAGGGCTGATTCGCCAATTGGAATGGCGAATCCATTCAAAATTCACAAACCAAATCGCCAACCCAGATGGCGAATGGTTCTCAAATAGCCTGAGTCGCCAATCCAAATGGCGACCCAAGGTTGAAACATTGTCATTTTGGAAATTATTTTCAATTATTTGTTTAATTGGTATTTTTTGTGAATAAACTAGTTATTCTAAAAAAAATCTCATTTTTCTCTATCTCTTTTCTTTTTTAATGTTCATAATTGTGACATAATGTTCATTGAACGCAACTCAAGATTCATGAAGAGTACAACACTTAAATTGTTCTAACAATTGTTCTAACACGCAACCTTATTTTAAGGGTTGCTAATAACTTAAATATTACTAAATAAATTCACTATTCAATATTGTCTATGTTTGTGTGTATTTTAAGTTTTAACACAACATTTATGCCAATTCACGTTTTATACAAAAGCTTTAATTTTTATTGTAACTTCTAATTGTCTTTTAGTGTATTCAAAAATCAAAAGTTAAAACAAACATAAATAAAATTAGTTGTCTAAAGTTGTCAATGTCATGCATATTCAAAAATCAAAAGTTAAAACAAACATAAATAAAATTAGTTGTTTAAAGTTGTCAATGTCATGCATACATGTAAGAAAAAACACGTTTAACTAAGCTTGTTATAAAAGTTATACTTACAATATATATATATATATATATATATATATATATATATATATATATATAGTTAACAAAATCCTAAATTTCTCACAACTTTTCACGATGAGTACTATAACAACACAATTTGCAACAGTGGTGACATTTCTTCTAGTGTTGCTAATCAAAATAGAAGGACATTCAAATTCAGTTATAATTCCAACTGATGAAGTGAACAAAAATTTGTTCATTGATGTTGTGGTTGAGAAAGTTTCTGGGAACGATATATCACCACCTGATTGTAGTACAAGACCATGGATATGTAGCACTGCACCATTTCCACCAAAAAGTGTATGTTGTGGAAACCGTTGTGTTGATATTGCAAAAGATAGAAACAATTGTGGATTGTGTGGTGTAAATTGTCCATTTAATTGGCAATGTTGTAACCGTTTGTGTGTAAATATAAACGTAAGCCCTTTTAATTGTGGTGGATGTGGAAGGATATGTCCTATTGGAAGTTTATGTCGATTTGGTATTTGTGTTACTTCTTTTGTGAATCCCGCCCCACCACCACTACTTCCTCCAATGGAGTAATTTATATTGATATTATAAGCTTATTAATAATTTGTTTTATGTACTCATGAATGATATTGTAATATGTATTGGATCAATGAATTAAGTAATGTTGATCATGGCTATGGTAATGTTATATTAAGATTATACAAGAACAATACATGCATATTAAATTTATATCTTTCAGAAATTTAAATCTGTCTTGCCAAAAAATAAAACGAGACATTTAAATATATAATAAAAGTGCTCTTAATTATACAAGAACAATACATGCATATTAAAGTTATAGAAATTTATACAAGAACAAAATATATATATATATATATATATATATATATATATATATATATATATATATATATATATATATATATATATATATATATATATATATATATATATATATATATATATATATATTTATAATATTAATTTTCCTCATCTTAATTATTATTTTATTTATTTTTTAATTAAAGTGCTCTTAAGCCAAAATAAATTTTTCTCTCAAAAATCACAACTTAGATTTACATTATGGTTACGAATACCAGTTTGCATAGTTCATTAACTTTTAACATTATTCTCATACACAAAAAAATGATACTTTTCATCTGATTTGGATTAGAAAAATATATAATAAAATTTGAGGTGTATAGTGAAATCAATTTTAAATTTTTTTAATGAACTATATGAATATTCAAAAAAAAATTCTATTTTTTTTCTTTTCAAAACAAACACATCTCCGATTTTAAAATTCATTTATATAAATAATTATTGTTTAAAAATTAAAATTAATCAATTATACGAACAATAAATATATGATTTGAACAATTGTATACATATATTAAATTCATAATTCACGAAGTGTGCAACACCTAAATCACATTAATACACGACCTAATTTTGAGAGTTGCAAATCACTTAAATAATTGTAAATAAACCATCCATGAAAAATTGTATATGTTTGTGTGTGTTTTAAGTTTTAACACACATTCTTGCCAAGTCAAGTTTTATACAAAAACTCTAATTTTTTTTAGTAACTCCTATTTGTCTTTTAGTGTTTTCAACATTAAAAATAAAAACAAATACAAAAAAATTGAGTTTACCGTCCAAAGTAGCCAATGTTAAGCATATACATGAGAAAAGCATGTTAATCAAAATTTATTATAAAAGTTATGTATGTTATTGGTCTCATAAGTATATATCCTAAGTTTTTCACAATTAAATAGTGGGTGTTTCAAATTCAATTACAATTTCAAATGATGAAGTGAACAAAGTTTATTAATCAACACTAAGGTTGAGAAAGTTGGTGTGGATGAAGAATCACCTGATTGTAGTTCTAGTCCATGGAAATATAGCATTTAAATATTTCCACCCAAAAATGTATGTTGTCAAACGCTTATATTCATCGGCTCCCCACGTGGTTTGTGTTCAGGCGGTGCTGACTGCTAGTATAAACTACTGGGGGTTACTTTCGAACTGAAACTAGAGGTGCACTCGCAATGGTAATCGTGATGGAATTTCTTAAGTAGGGAGTCAAAGATGTCAAGATTGTATTGGTCTTGTTTAATCGTTCTCGGTTTCCTAGTTACGATTCCGTAGGTGAGTCGGGTAATGCGAATAATTAAAGATTTTTCTGGTATAGCTTAATAATCGGGGAAAGCTCGAAATTAAAGAGAATAGCGCAAAGATTTGCTCATTTCATTAATTTGCTAAAAGAAATACAACGGAATTGAAAGTACAACGAAATGAAAAGTGCGGAAATGAAAGGTACCTCTCCCACACTATATCAGACATTGTCCTCAATGTTGTGATATAAATGCGGTACAAATACAGTACAAGACTAAAATGAAAAACAAACATAAAAGTAAACTATGGCTGCTGAGGACCGCGGGCTCGGCCTCTGGTGCGAGAGCGGCGCCTGGAAGGAGTCGCGTCAGGATCAGAACCGGTGCCGGAGGTAGCAGTAATGCTAATGCGGAGCGCTTCGAGCTCGCTGAAAAGTTCTCCAAACCGCTCATTAGTGGCCTCCTGGTTTGCAGCAATAGTGCCAAGTAAAGCATCATACTGCGCCTGCTGCCGTCGCTCCAGTGCGGCGTTCATCTGGTTCTGCTGATGAATCGCAAGGAGGACTTCCTCAAGGGTAACTGCGGGAGCAGGGGGCTGTCGGGTGGATGTCTCTGGGATATCCTGGACAGGCTCAGCTGCATCCATGACGTCCTGCATCTCGTCCGCTGGAGCGTCTGCCTGATCATCATGAACCGGGACGTGATCAGCAGCAGCAGGTAAAACAAAGAGCCAGTTGGCTCGGTTGGATGGATCGATGCGGTTGCGGGACGGCAGAGTGATATGGTGGAAAATGGTGCCATTGACAACAGAGCTATACCTGCCATCCTCTCGCTGCGCGATCAGGTGGGCGGACCTGCAGTAGCTCTTGGTCAGGAATTCGGCGGCTAGGTGAGGCTGATTAACGAGCGCGTCACCAAGCCCCAACTGAATGGCGAGGGCGGTGACAATGCCGCCTATGAAGAATGGGGAGGAGCCTCGCTGTGCAATGACCTGGATGTGATGAAGCATGAAAGGAGCAACGTTGATCGGCTCGTCATGAAGAGCGCAGTATAAGAACAGAAGCTCCTTGGAGTTGAGCTTATGGTTGCTTTCTCTAGCGAAGATTGTGTTGCAGATGACCCGGTGAAAATAGCGGATCGCCAGGTTGTGGATGTGTGTGGCGTTGAGGCTCTGGAAGGTGGATGCACGGGTGTTGGTTAAGTCGTGCCATAAAGTGAAAGCTTGTTCACTAAAATTATCGGGCACGCGACGGTGGGCTTCAGTGCCGTGATCGAAGCCTAACAACTCGGCTATCCTGGTTTGCGGGAGATTGAACTCTTGGCCATGCAATCTGAATGTTACGATGCCGGTAAGCTGGCTCTGGGAACCGGGAGGGGTGATGTAACTGTAAGAGCTTAAGAACTCCAGCGTCAGAAGTTCGAAAGTGGGCTGAGGCTGATGACAGAGATCCCACAGACCGACCTTTTGCAGTAGGCTTTGAACGCTGGCGAGCATTCCGAGTTCTCGCAGACAGTCAGTGGCAATGTAGCGGGTAGGTTGCACACCGCGGTTTTGGAAGCGGATGAAACGGTCTCTCTGGGTTACTCCAGCTTCACCTTCTCTAAAAGTGATGGAATCCATAGCATGCAAGAGTGAAGAGTGAGGGAAGAAGGTTTTTGTGAGGTTTTGAGAAAAATGGTAGAATGAGGGAGATAGAGGTTCGGGTTAAATAAGGGAGGGTGTTAATGAGATGGGTTATGAGAATGTGGGGTTAATGGGGGTAATGGGGAGGTTACGGCGGTTAAGGAAGGAATGGGTAGTTTTTGGGTAGGTTATGGAGGAAGAAGAAGAAGGGGCACGATGAGAAACAGTTCTGTTTCTCACGATCCCTGTAATAGGGGTCGTCACGGTCGTGACAGGGGCGTGACGGTCGTGACACGCTAAATGAGCACGTCACGATCGTAAGATAGGTGTGACGACCGTGAGGCATGCTTTGCTGAATAATTCCCAGAAAGAAACATTTTCTCACGTGATTCATAAATCAATAGTAATTTATTTTATTTAGTAACACTTATATTAAATACACACCATATTGTATATAATTTGCAACACAGTATTATACGAACTTGCATGAAAGATTGTATACATGAAATAATGCAGGCATACACTATATAGAAAAAATATGTAAGTTGCTAAAAATGGAGAAATAATTGAAATTAAAGGTGCATTGCATAAAGTAATTGAAAATGAAATTACAAAAACGGAAATTACGGTATGAAATTGTTGCGAAAGATAAATCTAACTAGAAACGAAAACAATGAGAAAATAAAATAAACTAAATCACTTATAGCTTTTTCAAAAGCGTTTCTTCAGGTCTTCGATGGCGGAGTCCAAATGATAGAATTGTTCGCAGGCCATGTCAGTCAATCCTATAATGTCCAATCGCATGCTCTTAATGTCTTCTTTGAATAGATTAATGTCAGTTTGGTAGGCATTGAGAGTGTTCATGATGCTTTGTAAGTTGTTAGCATAATCTCCTTGATTCACTCCAGGGGTTTCATGAACTTTGTCAGTTGGGTCAATGTCATGGTATCCAGGAGGTGTCTCAGGGTCAGTTTCAACAGCGGTCATTATATCATCTGTTATCCTGTGAGACTGAGGTGTTTCAGGAGTAGCTGGATAATCAGGTGGGTTTAACTCATAAAGCCAGTTATCCTTATTGTGAACACTTACTCTAGCATGATTGGGCAATGTGAACAGGGTTACTACTTCGTTCCGGATTAGGTACTCAAAAGGTGGGCGTCCTAAATTCCTTATGATATGTCTATTGAAGCAGAATTTAAGATTCATAGGGCGGATTGTTCCTAGACGGTTGCACCTGTCCAGTTGGTACCTAAGTCCTATGGCATCAGCAATCATGGTTACAAGACCTCCTACTAATATAGGTAATTCAGGTTCTTCTTGGATGCGGGTGAAGGTTTGCATCATGAAAGGTACACCATTAACAGACTGTCCATTAGTGAAACATGACATAATAAATACTTCATCTTTAGAAACTCCGGTAATGTTTTCTTCTTTTCCAAAGAAGGTGTGGGCAAGGAATTTGTGGAAGTAACGGAGAGCAGGATTATGGATCTCATCATTATTCATGTTATTTGGTTCAGGGTGGTAGTTTCCGGTTAGAGTTCCCCAAAAGAAATCTAGCTCCACATCCATCAATTCTACCTGTGTGGTAGTAAAAGCAAATGGTCCACTAGGGAATCCTAACAAGTCGGCTAGTTCTTTATGGTTAAAGTCGTATTCTATTCCAAATAGGCGGAAACTAATAAATCCTTTCCTAAATCCAAAACCGCGCTCAGGTAGGTAAAGTAAGGAGCTAAGGAACTCAAGGGTAAGCTCGCGGTAAGTCGCAAACTTATGTTGGATCAATGCATTCTCCCATCCGAGTCGGTTGAACAAGTACATGACACTATCAT